AAAATGGTGAAGATCACATTAGAGACTTCAGTGAGAGTGATTTCTGGAGAAAAAAGTTCCTAGCTTTATGCTGCTAGTGTATTCCCCAGATACCTTAAGGGAAAGGTGGGGGGTGATGACGTAAGAACAACGATGCGCACACCGCTTTTGTGGCTTTCATGCCTGCAGCCATATGCAGCAAATTCCTTCTTGTAGGTAGACAGAAATCACGTTTAAAACAACACATGGTGTGTGATAATTCTTGAGTGCTGACACCATCTATAGAGACAGTGTTGTTCTTAACAGCCAATACAAGGAAAATAAAATAATGGGCATAATGATCATTAATGTACAGATCTAAACCTGCCAGGCACAGGCTTACCAGGGCATTAAGTTCCTAAAAGAGAGAGATAGCATGGATCAGCAAATGTGCTCCCTGCACACATTATTTGCACATTTTATGCTCACAGTATTACTTAAATACTAATATCTTTTATGTCCTGTTGCCAGCTGCAAACTTTAAATTGTGCATGACATAAAGTACATAAGAATGGGTCAAAAAAACCCAAACCATCAACACAACCCTATTGAAGTTGGTGGATGAACACTAGAAGTCAGTAGTCTTTAGGTTAGCTGTTTAGAGATGGGACTCAAATAAGAAGTAGACCCTAATAATTTGGCTGTGTGTGTGTGTATTTCTGGAACTTTCATTTGGTCCTTCTTTATGGGGAGAATAAAGAAAAAACAAACAAACAAGAAAACTACAATTCCTATACAGAAAACTATAATGAACATTGGAAATCCTGCTAGGAGAACAGAGAGATTTTAAATATGGACCAGATGCTTATCAGTTCCCTGAAGAATTTATAATAGAACAGCTCTGTTGATTTCAGTAGATCTGTCTGCTTACATTCATCATTGAGTTTTCTGCACAATACTTTGGTTGTTCTTGCTTTCTGTAGATTTTGTATTAAGGGAGTTAGTTACTGGACAACTTGTCCAATTATACCTTATATGACTATATCAGAATATTTTTACAAAGTAAATTTGTAACAGATAAACTTTGATATTAACCACAGAAACTAAAAGTTAGACTAACTTCTTTATTGGACATAAGCAATTTTTAATCAACTTTCTGTGCAATAGAAAGAACGAAGACAGATTTGATCTGGAATTTTCTTACTGGAACTACCAAAAATTATTACCTACTGGAATTTTACAGCCCATAAATTTTGCATGTTGAATCTGATTTTAAAAGCCAAAACTTACTCCTTTAGCAATCCAGCTTTACAAAAGGGTCAAGTCATCATTAACGAGCAGAGGGGTATATACTACCCTTCCAGACAATGTGTGGAATAAGATGATTTTCTAATGCGACTTCAGTTAAGACTGGTGAAAGGGCTGAGCTGAATTCATAGGAGTCTTGGCACCCTTTGCCAATGCCAAGATTTTTGTAGATAGGTCAGCAAAAGCAGCTGTTAAGGAGACAGCATTTTATGGATGCTTGCAGGGAGCTCCTCCTATTACATGGGAAAGCCCGGGAAAAAGCCCAGACAGGTTTCTTTGCAAACATGTCAATGAAAGCTGCCATCATGGGCTATGAACGAGAGGAAAAACAGGTCATGTAGGGATAATCCAGGAAAATATGTGCAGTAGGGAAGAGGCCATGAAGGAGTCAGAGTAACAGAGGTTTTGTCAAAGTGGCAGACTAGGAAGGTGCTCCGTACGGCAAAAGACTGGCAGCATATGAGCACAGTAGCTTGAATTTGTCAAAGGTTGTGAAAAGGTGTTGCAAAACTGCTAACTGGGGAGAGCCTGGGTAGGAGATTTAGCTGTTTGAATGGCTAGAAAAAGCCCTTTGGGATGATGTGTGAAAAAGAATCTTCTAGATTAAGACATAACCTAAATATACAGACCTAGAAAGGAGATTCCGTGACAAAAACTTTCTCCAGTTTGTTTCTGGTTTTAGGCTTGAATAGGAGGCAGGATGATAGTGTTGTCCTGAGCAATCAAAGGAAGAACTAGAAGGGAGTGCTTTAGGGGAAAGATTTAAGAGCTCAGTTTTAGCTGTGCAGAGCTGTCAGCTAAACATCGAAAAGGTATCAGAGCTAGAGGTCAACATGTGGAAGAGCAGCTAAAGAGAGTAAGATCTTTGAACTGTCAGCACTGAAGTGATTGCTGAACTTGTGAGAATGGTGTCACAGAGAAGGGGAAGAAATTAAAGTGGGGGAAAAAAAAGGTTTCCCCAGAAACCTGGGATGGAGGAAATGAGGCAGAAAGACATGCTGGAAAAGTGATTAGAGAAATCATAGTAAAATGACAGGAGGAGTCACAGGAGCCAAGGGAAGCATCAGATTTCCAGGCATGTGATTGAATGGGTTGAAGGCAGCTGATAGGTCAGAAAGGATGAAGTTGAGAAGCAATTTCAGTAGAAAGGAAGTCTAGGCAGGGACTGCAGAGCTTTGAGATGAAAGGGAGAAGAGCTGGGGTGGTGCTTGAAGAGGCAGGTGGGGTAACAGGGAGAATCAACGCATATTGCCCTTTATTTGCAAGCTGTTGGTGAAGCAGTCACTAGCCGCTTGAATTTGTGTGATATTTATAAATTTTGTGCTGATAGATTCCTCTGGTGAAGTTTCAGCCTATAGATTGTACAGAAACTCAGTGCTACAGCTGCTATTCATTCATCATATACAAGCGCCTGTCCTTAGCAGGAAGACCTCCAGGGATGTCCTAAAGATTCAGAGCAGCTTTGCCAATTCAAAAGCTAGTGTTATTTCCTTTGAGTCAGGATTGAACAAATGCCCTTTAATGATACTAAGCTTTATTGCAATCTAGAAATGCTATTTTTCAGATGGTCTGTGAGATCAGTCTCCTGAACTCTTGCTTTTCACTACCTCAGGAGATCAAGTTGTTTATGAGAATTTAGTCCTAGCTGTAATCCCTGATCCAAGCTTTGGCAGTCATGATCACAAATTTCCTATATGTAAGTCTGGATCCTAATTTTGTGGCCAGACCTTTTCTTTAAACAGCATGCTAAAAATCCACATGCCAAGCAATTCCAGATTTTATCTTATTTGGAAATCTCAGTGATATTCTCACTTCAGTGAGTGTCATCCATCAGTCCTTCTATGGATTCTTATGCTTGCTTAATTTGCTTTACTTACCTTTGTTTAACAGAACGGAGGTCGTGCTGCAGGGGAAAGGACAGGCTGTTACGTGCTATCCAGGTGCCTGCCTTGCTGCATAGCCCATCTGGACAGGCCCCTAGCTGGAAGAATTTAATATTGAAGTCAATTCAGATAATACCAAGATAATAACAAGAAATAAACACATAAAGTAAAATAGCCTTATCAATAATTACATTAAACTTAATCTGCCCAAAAAAAAGCAGATAATTAAAAATTAGTAGAGAGCACAAGCCAGCATCTAATAATGACCATTATGTTACAGTTTATGCTGCACCTGAGATTGTGACAAAACTGTTGGTATTGCATCATTTAAATGTACAAATGCAATATATAAGACAAACATTTCCTGAGTGTTTGTGAGTTTTGATGTGTATGTTTGACTTGCATTTTTGTGTTTTGATACAGCAGTTGTCTCCTCCCAGGGTAGAAAGCATGAATCCTTCCATGCCCTGTAGGCAGCTAAGCCCCACACAGCTGCTCACTCGCTCCCTCCCCCGGCGGGATGGGGGAGAGAATCAGAAGGGGGAAAGCGAGGAAACTCCTGGGCTGAGATAAAGACAGTTTAATAGGGAAAGCAAAAGCCGGGCACGCAAGCAAAGCAAAACAAGGAATCCATTCACTCCTTCCCATCGGCAGGCAGGGGTTCAGCCATCTCCAGGAAAGCAGGGCTCCATCACACGTAACGGTGACTTGGGAAGACAAACGCCATCACTCCAAACGTCCCCCCCTTCCTTCTTCTTCCCCCAGCTTTATATGCTGAGCATGACGTCACATGGTGTGGGATATCCCTTGGGTCAGTTGGGGTCAGCTGTGTCCCCTCCCAACTCCTTGTGGCCCCCCCAGCCTGCTCGCTGGTGGGGTGGGGTGAGAGGCAGAAAAGGCCTTGACCCTGTGTCAGCACTGCTCAGCAGTAACTAAAACGTCCCTGTGTTATCAGCACTGTTTCCAGCACAAATCCAAAACACAGCCCCATACCAGCTACTGGGAAGAAAATTAACTCTACCCCAGCCAAAACCAGCACAACCAGTAAACCAACACTGTAAGGTCAGAAGTTGTATTTGTTTGAGGGGAGCCAGATCAAACTTAGCTATATGTTTTGCTAATTTTATTCTTACTATTCTTATGTGTTTTTATTGTGAAGCTGAATATTTGCAATTTACTAGTGTCCAAGTGAAACTGGAGGAAAGTGACCCATTAGCTACAGCTAATGTTACATTTGCTCCTGATCTCTGTTTTTCTGAATTTCCTTACTACCTTTATATTATCAGGGTGCCCATCTAGAATGGGTAAAATTATTCAAGTTGTGCCACCTTCACTTTATTAAAAAAAAGTTTGTCCACATAAGATTTATATTTCTGTAGCAACATTAATATGATATGCTAGCTCTTTTATTCCCTCGTATATTCACAAACTATAAGGCACTATAATCATGTCATCTTTAAAAAGATATTGTTTGTTTGCTCTTTGCTTGTCAGTGTGTGTGCACGCAAGGGAGTGACTCACTGGCGTTTTACTTGCACTCTTGCACTAACATAAACGATCAAGGTGTCAAATGGGGAGAGTCGGGTCCTGGCTCGAGATTTACGCTCAGACCTCTGCACTACATCTTCCTGAATTGCACTACAAAGGTCTCTGAATGCCCCAGGTGACATTTTGGGGTTCCCTCTTGGAGATTTCTGTCTTCACAAATAATTGCTTCTGAACCTGGATAATTTATATGTAATTGCTGACAAATGTGCACACACTCAATCAGTGTGATTGGGGAAAAAACCAAAAAGTTAAAAGATACTGTGATCTGCGTAGTAATAATCACACGAATTTCCCATCGTTTAGGTCTGTAAGAACTCCTGACATTTGAAGCTGTCCTACCGAGTTGCCGTGGCAACGAGAAAAAAGAAAACATCAGATATGAAGATTGCAGTTTACAGTTACTGTTCCTCACTACTAGGCCTCAGTTGCTCCAGATTCAGTTTAATTTGCAACCTCACTTAATCTGTCCGATTATACATTGGTGTTTGACAGCCTCTACCCTAACCTCCGTTTATTAATGGATTCCTCTTGCAAGACGCAAGGTTTATGCGAATTTTCTCTGAATGTTAAAAGACCATGACATCTAAACTGGACCTTGGGGGAGCAGAAAACAGATTGACTCCATTTTTTTCTATCTATCTGTTGACTTGTTGCTATTCAACTGTTCAGAAAATATTTTGTCTGTGGGTTAGTATTTGTATATGTATGAGTGTATGTATATATATTTATATAGAGAGAAGAGTTATAAGACAGGTTTAGCTTTTATAAAATATTCATCTGGAGTGTGCAAGGGACAAAGCAGAATAATACAGCCACAGATGAATTGTAACTATTCTACCATGGCTAAACCTACTGTATTTGCTGTTTATAGTGTGGCCAGAAGGAGAGAGCCTATTGCAATCATACCACTACAACAGCCACTTTGTTGACACCAAATAAAGCAGGCCCAGGGCTCCGCAGTGTCACTTTTGTACCTCAGGTTCAGCAAACAAGAAATGCAAGTCCCCCTGGCTTGTTTCTGATCTGAACTGCTTTCCTTATGCCCCAGACGGAATTTACGATCCAGCAGGAGCACAGCGCTTTGCTCCCCATTTCAGTGGGAGCAGCGCTGGGAGGTTCTGCAAAGCGCTGATTTGTGAGAAAGCAGGAAGCAGCCAGCTGCGACCGGCACTGTATGGGTAACGATTTACAGCAATGGGAGTGCTCGGCCTGATTTTAAAGGGGCTAAAGTCAGCTTCGTTTATGTTCCTGCAGATAATTTTTTGCTGGGGCAGTTTACAAAATGTAAGTCAGTCTTTCATCAGCTCTGCAGACGCGGTTAAGTAGGTAGAAGTCTGCATACGAGAAGCTGGTTAGAACAGCAAAAGCAAAGTATTTCTCAGAAGCTCTGGTCTCTCTCTCAGCCTCTATGCAGCTGTCATTACACATGTAAGCGCAAGGAGGAAAACAGATACCCTATTCTATAAATATATTCACACACATATATATAGTTTTGAATATATATATATACATACACACACACATGTACACACAGTTTCCAGTTAAGAGTAACAAGAGCATTTCTTTGTGTGTGTAAACTTACCACACTTGTTTGCAGACATGGAAAAAAAGGGTGTTCCTTATATATGAATCTGAATCCTTTTCTATTCTGTGAGCATGTAAGCTTAAAAAAACCCTTCTAACTGTATCAAGATGATCATCTTGTTAATAAATTGTAAATGATCCATCAAAGCTCACACCAAATTTTTATAAAATTAACACAAAAAGTATACTAGTGACAGACTGTGGCTTTTATTAGAGCTTGCCAGTAACTAGGGTAAGGTAAGTGTCTTAGAATATTTTAATAAACTTGCTTATTTAAAGTTTAAACAAGAAAGCTTCCTTATGCAATAGAACTTTGCAGCTGCATTCCTTAGTTAGCATTTTTACAGTACTTATGAGTCATACTGTATGTTGTCTTTACTACAGTGAGATTATGAGCATATCTTCCACACCATGTATATGTTTCAATAGTAAAGCTTTTTGGAAGCATTAAAAAGTCCAAACATACATTTAGTTTTCCATAATGCTACACTAGATATTAAATGTGTGTTGGTGGTTAAAAATTGCTGTACAATAGCTTTTCTCTGACTTCCTGTATTGTACCAAATATGAAACAGGTCTTTTGGGTTTTTTTTTAATCAAAAGGAGTAATAACAACAGCGACAGAGGAAAAATTAGTTTGTGTTGTGAACTTTCCTAACATTGTAGATTTCTTGATAAGATACAAGCTGCCTTCAGACAGGAATCTGTTTTTCTCTTCCAGCTTAACTCCTGCAGCCCTGACCAGGTAAAATCTCCCGCTGACCTTGTTTCTCTTGCAGCACGCTCTAGGTATTTCAATTACCAAAGTGGTACTTTGAGGTTAGTGGCAGTTTCTGTTGAGCGAGGGCTTCAGGAGCGGGCTGTTAGGCAGCTGCAGGCATTTAAGCAGGAAAGTGCCTGATCTCAAACATTAACATGGGCCTGCTTCTAGTTCTCTTTCTCTGCCCATGCCTTGTAATAATCATATGCTGCTGCTTTATCAATCAACAATCATGTATTTTTAAAAAAAAAATATATATAGTTTTCAGGTGAATTTTTCAAAAGGAAAAGAAATCAACAAATGCATAACACCACTGGATTTTCAACATATGTATCTAATGAATGCATCCAAATGCACCCAAAGATAAACTGCACCCTATGCTTTGATCTACAAAACCTCTATCTTGAATAAAAGAAATTCTAATATCCTCACCCACAAGTACTCTTTTTCTACTTACTTTCTTCCTCTTTCTATCCAGCAAAACCCACCTCTGGAAAGACACCCATTGACATTAATGTCATTTCTATCAAGTACCAGATAAAGCCACCCTTTTCTCATTTAAACGAAGGCTCACATAGCAGCTGGTGGATCATTTCAAGGGCATCCAAAATGAGCAACAAAGAAAAAAATCGCTTCTGCGTGGAACTACGCTAACAACGGGAAGACTCTTTCTACCACTTTGTGCCCAAGGACAAGAGATCTTTCTTCTTGGATAATACTGCAACCTTTTGACATGTAGAGAGGTCAGTATCATGGCTGAAACTCTGAATCAAGATGCATCAAAGCCTTCATTCACCATTATCACTTTATTTCTGCGCATAGATTAAAGCCTCCCAGCCTTCATGTGTGTGTCTAGGCTTCAGACAGAGCTAATCACTGGACTACCTAAGCATGCAAAGAGAAGATGAAGCCGCCATGTTAATGTTTCTCCCTCTCTGTACCTGAGAACAACCTCCATTTAACAAGAGATTGTGGCACTTTCTGTAGCATTATACAAGTGAGGAACCACATTAGAATCTGAGTTTTCCTACCTGAGTAAGATTGTTGGCTCTGGCTCAAAAAGTGATGCCCATTTCCTGAAACAAAGGAGCAACAATGATTTATTAGTTTTCCCACAATATCATGAAAAAGTAGAGAAGTTACAAAATTGGTTGTCATCTTTTTGTAGTTAATTATGTTTAACATTTGTTCAGCCAATCTTGCTGTTTTTATAGCATAGCACTTATTTCTACCTAGCTATTTTGGTCACTACAATGTTTATTTCAGTCTATGTTTGTAGACATACAATGCTGTCTGGCGTCAGAAAGGCACTGAACTTGTTGATTTTCATTTTGTAACATGCATAAAACTTCTTGTGCAAAAATTATTTCACTTGAAAAGAGTATCTGCTGTTAAAACACAAATTGGGTATAGCAGTTAATCAGTGAGAGGAGTTTATTAGCAAGACAAAGGTCTCATTTGGGGTGTGCTTGCTAATGGAACCCTTGTCTGTACACCTCATGTGTGTGCTTTTACAATATGCCTATGTGCATTTATTAATGTACATTTTGTTCAGTAACTGTAGGTCTGAAGATGAAAACAAAGGGAAATGAGCTGAATTTCCTACTGGGTATCAAGGAAAATTAGGTAGGATTGGAACACTGGCTAATACACTTTCTGAGCCCTGTTCTCATCACATTTACACTGGCGTAAATCAAAAAGCAACCCCATTACTAGAATTGTTTAAGATTCAGTTAATCATATTTAGATGAATTTTTTCATCTAAACCTCCCCACATATTGCTTTTACTGGTCTGCTGTGAACAGTAAAGCAGCAATATTTGTCACAGGATCATTGAGTGCTTATGTATTATCAAAAGTCAGTCTTTTGTGACATACAGAGAAACCTACAGCTTAGATGCCTCCCACAGATGACTCACTTCCTTCGCCGACCACTATGATGTGTCTCTAAGGCACCCAGCATAATTTAGTTTAGCCTTCATTTGAAATGGCTGTGGCCTGTAGTCAAATAATGCGTCCTGGTCTCTTGGGTAGTCATTTAAGTTAGGGATCGCTATAATAGAAACCTCATTTATTACATTATGGACTTACAATCAGTTTGTAGGGCCCTACCTAAATGTTTTATCACTACAAAAAAGACAGGCATATGTTACATTAACAACTTTTACATCATCCGTCTTTCCTTTGCGAAAAGACCTTCCTGCCTAAAATACTGAGAAAGCTGCCAATTTTCTTCTCAATTGCTACTAATACACTCAGCCACTTGAAACACAGCAGAATTTTGTACGCAAATAATTTTACATCGCTGTTTGTTTAAAGGCTAAGTTTCATTCTGTATGGATTTAATAATGTCTTCTTTAATTAAAAAAAAACAAACCACAAGATAAATTATATTAAAGTCACAGCAGCTTGAGAACACTAAGTCTAAGGCAAAACTTTGATCCTATCTTCCCTTTATTGCATCTCTAGAAACTCTGTTGTCTGAGAGATACACTGTCCAATGCTAACAAAAAGATAAAAAACTAAAATAGCAATTATTTTCTTTCAATTAACTCTGTGATCTATAATCTTTAGAATTAACATGCAAAGTACATTAGTAATTATCATTATTACTATTCTATTTAAAGCAGGTATAGCTGACTATTTTACTATGTAAAACACATAACCCATTGACTACACTGTTCTCTTGCCTCACATCAAGATATGCTGGCTGATTTATATTTGTCCAAATAAAATGGATGATACACTCATACACTCTCAGTGGAAAGTTACTAGTTGCACAATTGCTATGTGTGTGTATATATGTAGATATATAGAGATATACACATACATATATATAAAAAATATATATGCAGATGGAGGGAGACTAATACAACATGGGGACTTGGAAAAAGCAGTTTAATTAATTCCATGAATTATGGATGAATACACGAGTTAAGGGACAGCATGGGTTATGTACGCCAAACCAGTCTGATTTAAAGAAAAGAAAGAAAAAAGGCAAATAAAACCACACCCTAAAACCCAGGCTTATCCCAACTCTCACGTATTTATGCTACCTTTAGCTGTCCCCTCTTAACACAGTTATATCATTTGAAGATATGGATAATTGTTTACCAACTCATTTTTAGTTGTCTACGTATCAGCAGGTCACCAGTAGTGGAAAGGGAAGGGTTTATAGCCAGAATTCTGCATTACTGTGCTTTCAGTGGGACACCTATTTGGGAAAGCTTCACCCACCCCTTTGAACATTGCACTCCTCCTCTGCATCAGCAAACGACTGTATTCGATGACTTGGGCTTAAAATGAATGTAGTCTAAAGACAGACTGTGTGTATGCATGTGCATACACACCCTGCCTGGGACTGTACAATAAGAGCACGTCTGGTGGACTGTGATGGTGAATTCAGTACAAACAAGCTGTGGTGTTACTGCCATTTCAGACAGAACCCTCCTGTGAAGTCATATTTGCCCCATAACAAACTGTCTCTTTAAGTTACCACCAAGATATTTTTTTTTTAATGATTTTCTTTCTTTTTTTAAGGTTCAAGCAAGGAGGAAAATATTTTGTTTGATTTTAAAAGATACTTAATTCAGCTACTTTTCCAGTGAATTGTTCCTTTGGGCCCTAGTTGCTGAATTGCTTGCTGTTTCTGAGGTGTAAATAAACGTTTTGATTTATGACGTGGTTGCAAAGAAACTTGTAATTTATTTGTGAAATGCTCAAATAAAGGATGTATGGGCTTTTACCTTTTGTCTGAGCGTAGACCTTCCTAAGGCAATACGGCAGGAATGGCAGGCCTACAAAGTGACCTTGAGACTGCCAAAGGGCTGGAATAACCTGAGCTAAATACAAGAAACTCCCCCATTGCTCTAAGTAAAAAGAGATAGATTTCAGTCTTCATCATCACCATGCCATGGTTATAGAATGAGACTGGAGGTTAGAGAGGTAAATAAGGTTTGACCACACAAGAAGGCAGTAGCAGATTATTCGACATCCATTCAGGTAAGAGCAGTGATTTGCCTTCTAAAGCCCCACTTTCATTACAGAGAGTTGCACTGACCCAAATCTGGGTCAGATGTCCCAAGGCTGGACCGTGTGTAGGAGCTATAATGGATTTTTCTTGCATTTCCTTTCTGCTTCACTTGGCCACCTTCCCCACCTACCACCATCAGTTCAGCTTATACAGAACAGCCAGCCACAAAAAGTGAACATTGTAAATGACGCAGGAACAGGCTGAACAAATGTCAATCAGCAAGGCCCACCGTGGGATGCTACAGGACTCCATTTCTGTCGCTGCTGTCATGGCTGATTACAAGATGGCTTTTAACAGCTAGTACTGCCATAGTCTGTAGTCGTGTCTGACGAGCTCCCTCCCTGTGCTTCACTCCTCCTTAAGATGCATATGCAGATGTGGTCTACTTGTTGCCCCGATTCAGAAAATCTGACTCCAAAATTTAGAGCCCTTATTGCCTTCAAGCCCAAACTGCTCTGGGCCAGGTTGCCCCAAAAAAGCTTTCACTGCTTTAATGCCCTTCTGTACTGGGAACCGCAGACTTCCTGGACAAGGCTTATCACTTCAGTACGCTGCGTTCCCAGTAGTGGGACTCAAGGTTTGTAAGATACTATTCTCTTTTTTCACTGAGCTCTCATAAACTGTGATTATGAGGGGAAGGGAAGTGGGGTGTGCTTTCCCGTGCTGCCAGCTGCTCCCAGACATTGCAGAAGGGCCCAGTAGGTGAAATAATAAATAAATAATCATTCCGGCCCAGAATCCAGGGCAGAAAAAAGAATAGAAGGCTAGGTAGAATGAAAATCCTGCAGGAAATTTGCACCATAGCACTATGGCATTATTGCCTCCTTGCCAGGGAATTCTTTTTCCAGCACAAAGCTAGAGCCTGTTGGCTTTCTGAAATTCCTGCGAGTTGTTTTTTTAGATCTTCTAGGAAGTTATCTCAAATGACAGGGATACACAAAGATAGAATATCCCTGAAAATAGCCTTTTACTACATCTGACAATAGAGGAAGCTGGGGAGGGAGGGCAGCACTTGAGGAAACGTTTGAGTACAAGCCACAGCAGCTTGCTTTCACCGAGACACACCTCCAGCTTTTTCTATTGCCTATGCTTTATCAGACTTTGAATCTAAAGGGGGCTTTTTTTAATGTGGTCCGTAATAAGTAGAGGATGAAAAGAGCATATGTGAAACTTGTGGTGTAATTGAGCAAAAGGTCATTACTTGAAGGCCACAGCAAAAAAGCATCACCTCCTTTGGTCTCAGTTGAGATCATTGTCCTAAACTAATGCTGTGCCTTGTATCTTAAAAGAGGTGTTTGAAACAGTACAAAGTTAAATCATAAGCAAGGAAACGTTTTAACAGAGATAGGAAAATGTTGAATGGTTTTTAGCAGGGTAGAAGTTTTCCGTTGCCCTTTCAACCTTCTTCTGTCTCATCTAACACCACACGTTCTGGATTGCAGTCTACTGTTACTCGGTAACCTTGCACAGTTCAATCCAGTTACATTTTTTCTCCAGCAACAGTAAATCAGAACAGTCCCTTCTGGCTTCAGCACAACCTTCTTACCTGCAGAAACAAAGCAAGGGTCATTGCTCCTGCTGTAAAACTATTGGGATGCTCTTCCTCAACCGCCACGCCTCTGGCCGGACTCCACTCATCCACCTCCCGGTGCTTGATGACCTTCGCTGTTCCTGTGGTTACAGCAGCAAGTAAGTTACTCTAGTCCAGTACACTTCAACATTATATGACAGTATATTTTATTACTTACGACTCATTTTGCAACTTACACATGTAATTGCGGGATGCCCACCATCATTGCTGTGGCTGGATATACTTTTTATGACTAACTGTCCAAAACAAGAAAAGCCAAAGCGTCTACACTACTCGTTTACTGCAAGACAGGCTGAAAAATCAGAATGTAAAAATACAGCTGGACACATAATTAATGAATTGTTTGCAAACAGTGTTCTGCAGTACAGTTACAATACTGGAGTAATTGATTTGGGAAGGGGGATGTTCATAAACAGCTTTTTGTGGTACATTTAAAGAAAAACACAGAACTCTCACAGTGTTGTCTTCAAACCGACCACATATATTTTTAACAGAAGGATAATGAAACGTAAGTAGATAGTGCTTATGGACTGGATTAAATCTTCATGTCACTAATGGGTTTTTTAAATTTTAGCTTTTATAAATGTGTCCATTGTTGTTTACACCTGTTATCTTGCTTCATGCCAGCAGCCACTTGGGAACAAATTTTATACTGGGCTAATTTTGCCATTCCGGTTATCCTGCCAACTTTGCTGTAACGGATCTGCTGGTGACAGTGGTAAGATAACAAGTCTAGCCCACACTTGGAAATGACAGCAAATCAAATAGTGCCTCTTTGTACATAAATAAAGAAAGAAAGAATCACATCAGCTGTGTCTCATCCTTTTGTGCTATTTGATCAGCTGCGGTAAAGCAACAGTGCTGTATGACACCTTCCAAGTAGCCATAAAACAGGGATTATAACCTGCCTTGGGGTTACAGCGTGTATTATTGACTTGGCTAGTACCGAGGGAGTTAGTTAGCCTTTGGTGGGATTTGAACACCTAGTTCCCACTGGCATCACTAAAAAGCCAGAAGCCTAAGAGCTGAAACTGCCCCCCCAACTGATAAAATAATTATATAACTATAAATTATTTCTTTTTTTTTTTTTTTAAGTTATCATGAGCTAATATACACCAAAATGTTTCCTGTGTCTCCAAGGTAACTTAATTGTCATCATCTTTCATATTGAGCAAAGCCAGCAAAACCTATAGAGAACAGGTGCCCCAATTAACAGATACTCAGCCTTTCGTAGACTGGATTGCTGAAAAGAAAAAAAACAAGATTGGGAATATTTAATCCATATGGGGAATCACAGAGAACATGACAGAGACCACAGGTAATGCAAAGTAGAAACAATATATGGTAGTAATTAGAATAACCCTCCTTACAAGACAATAAGTCTAAAGGAAAGATTTAGACTTTTTGGTGCCATAAAATTCACACGTGCAAGCTGTGACTACTAGCCACACCATGTAAAAACTAGACCAGCGCTGGAAAGCCCAGTTATGGTGCCTGGCAAGTTTTGCCATTGTTTCTAGTGGCAAAAACTGCATTAATCCGTATGAAAATGGCTTGCTCTTGGATCCTGCACAAAGAAGTGCTCTAGAGAGAAAACCTTTGAGCTGGGCAAAAACCCCTATATCCTCAGCCCTGCCAAGAGCTTAGTGCAGCTGCCCACCATCACACTGGCAGAGCTGACTGCAGGATTTTGACCTGTGTGTACCCATAAGCTGTGTTCTCTTATGTCTGTACTCCCATCAGACCACAAAGCGCCCTCTTCTCACTCTGTTTCAGTGATAGGGACAGAACTGCAACATAAGGATAGAAATACAGAAACAGTCGGTGGGCACAGTTCAAAACCATCCTGGCAGTAGAGCTAGACTTACCCTCCTGGCAAGCGCAGCCACCTCAGCATGGCGACCAAAGAGCCAGGGTGCAGAGGCACCTCATGCCAGTACCTCAGGCAGGCACCGGCCTGAGAGCTGAACCCTTCCCAGAGGAGGGGCTGCCTCCTCGGCCACCCAGACAGAGGGCCAGAGAGGTTAGGTAGCCCTGTGGTCATGTGGCAGCTCAGCACTCATCAGACTCTGCCCCAGACTCCCGCCAGACATTATAGCTTTTATCAGTCCTGGTGTGCATGTCAGGCCCCACATACCGCTGCGCTGCCAGCCAGCATTTGTACAACATGGAAACAACAGGAAGAGGTTTTTTTTTGTTTGGTTGGGTTTTCCCTCCCTCTTTCTCACTCAGTTAAGACAGTTCTCATCATCTGGTTTCTGTGCCATTGACATCCAGTCATCATTCTTGCACTGATGCTCTAGCTTGGCACCTTATTAAAGAGCCATCAGGGCTTACTCTTATCAGTTCTGTGATAAACCTGCTTTTAATTGTAGTTGTCTGTCATCATTTACACAACTTGTGGGCTGCAGTACTTTCTCGCACTCTTAATTTCTGTTCCTTGGCACTGTGTACTTTGTTCTTTAGCAAATGAGCACCTAGTACCTGCAGCTGATGAAAATGTGTGCCGTACACAACTCTCTCTTCTGGGGCTGGGGGATGCAATCCAAGGCTTGCTTTCTTCAGTTCTTTCTTCAATTTTAAACAAAAGTCCACTTGCTACTGCAGCTTTTCTTCGTCTCTTGTCCTGCTTAGGCTAAATAAGAGAGGGAGGCAGTATGTGCATTTAAATGCCATTATTTAGTGAGGGTATAACTTGCTTATAAAAAAGATAGATACATGGATGTAATTGATCTATTGTTCAAATCAAAGTATTAAAATGTGTGTGTATATATAAATATAAGCAGCTAAGGTGATGAGTTTCATTATCCCACACACAAAAAATAATAGACTATTTTTTTAACTGGTGATTAAACAGTGAATATTCATTAAAAGCTCAGTTCATTGGGAAAAAATAGTACAATGCAATTAAACTGTACTACAGACTAATTAATATGGGAATTGGGGCAATTCAAATACCTTTCAAGAGATGGAAGTGAGGACAGTAGGCAGCATGGACTCGTACCAGTCATCTCCATTAGCCTAGCAGATGGATTTTCTGCTACTTTAGGGTTTTGCTGAAGGTTCTATTTTTTCTTTTTAGTTTCAAAGGAAATCTGGAGCGGGGGGGGAATGTTTGC